TCTTAAGGAACCTCGTCCCAGAATTAAGTTTTATATAATAAAATTTTCAATTCTATTTGTATTCTATTCTATTATACTTGTTCATAAAAAAAAATCACGTTAAATGAGATATAAACAGTGACTGGGCTTAGATTAGAGTTATAATTTATTTTAAATCAATTCCTTGTTTCAAATCTGTCGTTTATTTGAGTAGTTGAGAAAAACAGAAATTTTTAGATAGAATTTACTACAAAATCAGCAGAACCTTTAAATATTTTAGAGTATTTTAAAAATATAAATTCTGTAAAAACCTTTACTTGAAAAGTTGCCAGTGAAAATGATTTAGTTCTGAAATTTTGTCTTCTTCCCCTCTCCCAATCAAAATAGATAATCTGCGCCTATGACTGGATGTATATTTAGTTTTAATACAGTTGTAATATAATGGATAATTAAAAAAAAAAAATTAGTGGTATGTGCTTCAAACGTTGTGAAAACATCAAGGCAAGATTAATAATACGAAATATTAATTATAAATAATTGCACATTATAAAGAGGGTGAACTCCTGAACATTTCCCTCGCTTTTAGTACACAGATCCAATTTTTAGTTTTTGAGATATTTTAATCCAAAAACAAAAACACTTCAATTAATCGACTTCAGCCGAATTAACTCGAGCGTTACACATCGATAATTTGAAGGCTCAGACTAATTCAATCTCTACAAAAAAGTGCGAAATTCGCCTAAGGAAGTTTCACTTAAAAACATTAGTAGACTCTTGCTGTTGAACTTATAAATATTTAACATTAAAATGAAAAGAAAGACTTTGAACAACCGACTGAAAATGCAATACTCACTTTTTTCTAAATCAAAATTGAGAATTAGACAAAAACTAAATACATACACTTTCCTGCTCAAACCCATTTGGACATACGCCTCAAAGATATACGGTTCAGCAAAAAAGACTCACTTACAAAAACTACAATCTTTTCAATATAAAATTTTAAGACTAATAGCTGCAGCTCCCTGGTACGTCAACAACAAGACTTTACATACCGACCTAAGACAACCAACCATTGACCAGCACATACGTACTCTCTACTCCCGATTTCATCTTAAACTACACGAACAATGGACTTATCAACGACATGACCACGGCTGAAATGCTTATCAGGAGGCGACTGAAGAGGAGCTGGATGAGAGATCTCCTTTCATGATTTTAGGATGTAAACAGGCCAGGGAAGAGGTGCTGCTGGGCACCATTCTTCGTCATGCCTATCATGCCATTTTCAACTTAACAACAAATCTGCTAATTCTCACTACCATGACAGGTGCGGATGAAAAACCGAAGACAAAAAAAAAATTGATAACATGATTTGTCTGTGGTGTTTCTTAAATCGAATCGTTTCGATTTAATCAATTTTATACCCTTCATAATTTTTTAAAACTAAAGAAACTCGCCAAATAGCCCTGAAGCCAGGGCCCAAAAATCGATCTGATCGCAGGCGAAGGTTTGATTGTAAATTACGAAAGTGTATGTTAATCTGCGTAAAATGAACCTTGTCTGCCGTTCCAGAGCCGCTGCTTTCAAAAATGGCTGCTGATTTAAAGAATATTAGGCCAATAATTTGAGGATCGAAACGAGAAATCCATTGCGAAAAATGTGAGAAAAGTTTCTATTTTTTAACTTGTATGTATGGGCTTAGACAAAATTGCTAGCGCGGACAACATTGCTAACGGGGAAAAACTTTTTACAACCAAAAAAGTCAGATTTTTTAGATATTTTTTGTTTTTTTCACTTATAACTCCTAAACAATGCATCAAAGCGAAAAATGTATTATTTAATAAATTAAAGAACGTTAAATTTTGCGTCAAACGAGTACATAAACTTATAAAAACGATGTGTCAAAAGATACCGAATTTTATAAAGGAATTCCGAATCCCGATTCGAGATACATAATAGGTCTATAAAAAAATGTTTGTACTCAGTTTACGCAAAATTTGATGCTTTACAACTTTGATTCTATGAGTTTTTCCTTTTAGGGAACTCATTTCCAAGTTACATGGCCATTTATAGTAATTTGTCTCAGTTCTTGACAAATTTTGTAAAAATCAGCGTTGGTTGACCGTAGTTACCTTACCTCGTTACCAAATTTTAAAGTTTATGTACTCGTCTGATGCAAAATTTAACTTTCTTTAATTTATTAAAGAGTAAATTTTTCGCTTTGATGCATCGTTTAGGAGTAATAAGTGAAAAAACAAAAAAATGTTTGTCTTTGACTTTTTTGGCTGTAAAAAGTTTTCCTTGGTAGGGAATGTGTAAACCCATATATTGAAATGTCTAAGCCCATTCTTGACAAATTTTGTAAAAATTAACGTTGGTTGGAAGTGGACTTATACCTTACTGCGTTCCCAAATTATTAAGTTTATGTACTCGTTTGACGCAAAATTTTACGTTCTTTAATTTATTAAAGAATAAAGTTTTCGCTTTGATGCATCGTTTAGGAGTAATAGCTGAAAAATATAGAAAAAATCTGATTTTTTTGGCTTTAAAAAGTTTTCCCTTGGTGGCCCACTTTAGCAATTTCGTTTTTCACATGTCTAAACCCATATATAATAATAATAATGCTTTATTTATTCTGGGACGAGTCCCTATAGAATATTACAGAGAGACAAAAATTTGGGCTAAGGAGCCTCAGAGATACATAAAGAAGAATATAGTTTGATTAAATAGTAAAAAAAATAATAATAAGAGAAATTATAAATTACTCTCTAATTTACATTAGTTAATAATAAAAAAAACGTCTGCCAAGTAAGGTCAGTATAGCTTCCTCACCGTTTCCGTTGTATATTACAAGGTATACAATTTTTCGAATGAGAATAAAATCTCTGAGAGAAGCAGAATCGGAATAGCTGATTACAGTTACCCTTCAACATTCAACAACAGAGGGTCGTATTTGAATATTCCATACTTGATTATGCTTAATAAAAAAAAAATAAATAAAAAAAAATGTATGCTGAACATGAATTTCAATACTGTTAGTTCAAAAGGTCTTATGTATAAATTTATTTATTGTTTTACAAGAGTGCATAAAAACTCAATATTTCTTTATGCTTTATTAGAATAATTTCATATTTTATTTTCATCTGCTTTTTCCATAGTAGCAGACTACTTATATCAGTTGCAGACTACAAAATATCACCTTTAATACACATAGAATTAAAGTTGAAAATTATTACATACGAACTTATGCTCTAATAATAGTATATACATTACCGAATCAAGATTTAATTTTGGAGGAGGGGCATCAGCACGAAAGATTTAAATATATATATATATAACGATAATTAATTTGAAAAAAAACCACTGCAAATTATTTCTCTTTGGTATATTATTTCCAAACAATTATACATATAAAGTAACATTAAATTTCTAGTTATAAAGAAAAATAAATAAAAGGTGATTCTAATTATTGGACTAAAATCTTTAGTAATCATTAGTAATACGATAAAAAAGATAGCATTACTTCAGTAACACATTCAGAAATCAAAAAAAAAGATAAACCTTTTGCAATAGCACATCTAAAAAAACCTAGAGACGATATCTTTGCTCCTGATTGTCCGATTTTGACGATTTTTTTTTTGTTTTTTAAGAAATTCCGTAAACTTCTAAAAAACCATATACAATGTTGACATAAATGTGTATACTTCTTGAGTTATTCGGAATTTAATTTTACCATCCCTCGTAACTTTTTTTGAGCTTCTTTTCGTTGAAGTATGTAGTATAGATAAATTTAGAGGGCGTAGAGAAAATGACTTTAGCGAAGTTTCATCAAAATCGGTTCATTCGTTTAGGCTCTACAGTCTATAGCAACGCAGGTTTTTCGGCCGCCATTTTGAAACTAGAAGGCGAATAGTAATGTCGTTGAAGGAGGATGATCCTCGGGTGACCTCTGATTTTATATCCAAATTCGAAAAAAATCGGTCTAGTAGTTTCAGAAAAAATGCGCGGACGGCGGACGGCGGACTAGTTGTGCACATATAAGAGAAAGTGTTGGACGCAATTCAATGAAATTGACACTACATTATTTTTTCACCAAAGTCTACCTTTTATCTAACTTTGAGCCAAATCGAACGAGCCCTTTCTGAAATATTGGCATATCTAAAAATATACGTTTGCGCGTGCGTAAGCGGAAGTGCTGGGTGGAATTTGATAAAATTGATATGGGACCATCTAGGCACCGTTCAGCATAATCCCTGAAAATTTCATGAAGATTGGATGAACGGTACTAGGTGATATGCCCGTCACATCGATTTGACTACAGACAGACAGACAGACAGACTGACAGACAGACAGACAGACAGACTGACAGACAGACAGACAGACAGACACCGAACCAAATTTGATCCTTGATGTCTGAAACGTAAAACGCGAGTGAAAATTTTCGATTCTGAGCAAAAAATTTTTTTTAATTTCTCGCACGAACACAATGCTTCCCTACCTTCGGTAGTGAGGAAGCAATAAAAAATTGAAAATAAACATGACGTAAAAATAATAAAGAACGATCTAATAATTTATATACATATTTACAGTATTAACTATTTACAATTTTATGATGACTGGATGGATAAGAAATGATTAAACAGTTGGAATTTTAAGATAGGAAGGGTTTATACAATTTAAAAAAATAAAAACTTTTTCCACATTTTTTCTCAATGGATTTCCAGTTTCGATACTAAAATTACTAGCCTTATATTGCTTAAATCATCCGCCATTTTTGAAAGCAGCGGCACTGGAACGGCAGACAAGGTTCTCTTTACTCAGAATAACATACACTTTCGTAATTTACAATCAAACCTTCGCCTGCGATCAGGTCGATTTTTGGGCCCTGGCTCCATATTTTCAAAAAAAAAAAAATAATATTTTTTTTTTTTTAATTTCGGTTTAAGATATATAGTTATGAATACATTAAAATAATAATGTATGTTTACTTATATTATGTATTAAATATATTTTTTACTCACGCGTTGGTGTCTCTGCGCTGATAACCAGCCTGCTGACGGCGGACATGTAGTTGTCGCCGATGTTGCAGCCCGGAGTCGACTCCACCGACACCACTTCTAGGTAGGGCTCTGCCTCGCTCTCTCTCAGCACACTCTGCAGGAACTCCTTGTCCAGCTCCAGGCCGCTGATCAGCGGTTCCTCCAGCATCTCCGAGACTGGAAGCAGATAATAGATTAGTATTTAGAAAATATTATTTTAAAACATTGTCTCCTATGATAACTTTCTGGTCTGTCTGTGGCAAGATTTTCTCGGGAACTACTGAACCGATTTTGTTGCTTCTTTTTTTATTTTCTAGGGTTCTGATTACTGATGCCTGTGGCAGAAATTCGGTGCTACATGCGCAATAGCGAATCAATGAATGAATCAAAAACACGTTTTTGTATAGACTGTAGCGCAAAAATGGCTCTAACGATTTTAACGAAACTTTCCTATAATGTTCTAATCATTGTCTTTTTAATTTTCGTAAATAAACGAAATTCTCGAAAAAACTCATGAACAAAAATTATAAAGAAAAATGTCATGGGGCCTAACTACCTAAGTATATATTATACGGTAAAATTTATCATAAAACTTTTAAAAGGTAATTAAATTACCAACAAAAAAAAAATCATCGGAATCGAACCAGTATTAGCGATGATACAGCTTATTCTATTTTTTACACATTTTTTAACTTGTAACTTCCCTAAAAAACTATATAAAAATCCATTCGGTCAACTAATAACAAAGATACAGCTATTCAATTTCCAATGTACAATTACGAGTTCATATCCTGGTGTCAGAAAGGGTTGAATGAAAGAAAAAAGATTACTAAGTGAAAGTAAGGAAACCTGTTGTCCGCATCACACAATCTTCAATATTTACTCTAATTTTAACAGAAATTATTGTTTGACATTACTAAGCTTTGAACAGCAATATTAGAGGATATTGAAATATTTACACTGATCTACCTTAAGCCGATTTACATTGCTTTAATCTATCGAATAAATCATACTCAAAACTTTTCTTTGACTAATTTTCAGAAAAATAAATCTAATTCAATTTTTTTTTGTTTTTTGATGGACATTGGTAAAGATATTAAAACTTTTCTAAAGTATGAAAGTCGTGTGAGTGGACACACCAGATGTTTTATTTTAATTCTAATTTAAAACTATTTTATATTAGTAGTATAGCATTCCGTAACAATAAAGGATATAGAAGAGAAGAATAGTTGTGGTGGTCAGTCAAAAAGGAAGGCAAAAATAAATGATAATATTTATTTCTACATATGCCGACGTTTCGACCTGAAGTTCAGGCTTTCATCAGGGCTAGTAAAATAACCAAATAACAAGGTATGAGAAACATAAGTAGTGATGGTAAAAAAAAAAATAAATAAAAAAATAAAATAAAATAATAAAAAATAAATAAATATAAAGTAAAATGAAATTGTTAGAATAATGACTAAGAACTAAGAGATAAATAATAATTTATTATTATTATTATATTATTGTTATTATTATTTAATAACCAGATAAAATTGTTATCTGGTTATTTTCTTAGCCCTGATGAAGGCCTGAACTTCAGGTCGAAACGTCGGCATATGTAAAAATAAATATTATCATTTATTTTTGCCTTCCTTTTTGACTGACCACCCCAACTATTCTTCTCTTCATTCGACATTCAACCAATTACTAATTATTAATAAAGGATATAATTATAATGAGAGAATAACACATTCATGCCACATTTACATAAAAAAACAACAACTAAGTTGTGTGCTTTAGACAACACGATATAAGTGAAAACAATAAGACGAGATTAATACTATGAAATATAAATTATAAACTACAGTTCATTACAAAGAGGATGAAATGCTAAACGTTTTCCTCACTTACAGTATGCAGGTCCGATTTTTATTTTCTGAGATATTTTAATCCATGTCTTCAATAAAAATCTCTTTATAATTTACCTATTTAAATTACTGATATTTACTAGTTCATGATGTTTCCAAGGACTTTATAATATTTAAATGGAAATCTCCAATTGGAAGGTTATACAATGTATATTATTACATATTATACATATATCCATTATGCCTAAGAATTTCTGCTATCATTATAATTCGTATTATTTCTCTTCCTATTTTTTTCCATATTGTTAATAATGCTATAAAAATAAAATTTTTATGTTATAATAATATTAGGATATGTACTGTATATTATCATAATGGTTTCTTTACACTATTTTTTCCCTTTTTGCCTCTCTAAGACGGCGTCGCGTTAAGATACCATTTTAAACAATAACCAATTACAGAGAGGATGAAATGCTGAACGTTTCCCTTGCTTACAGTATGCAGGTCCGATTTTTAGTTTCTGAGATATTTTAATCCATGTCTTCAATAAAACTCTATTGATAATTTACTTATTTAAATTAGGGATATTTTCTAGTTTATGATGTATCCAACCACTGTATAATATCTATGTGGAAATCTCCAGTTGGAAGGATACGCAATGTTATATTATTATATATTTTCCATCATGCCTAGAAATTTCTGCTATCATTATCATTTATATTATTTCTGTTCTTATTTAAGATACGATTTTAAACAATAGCCCATTATAGACTGGATGCAATGCTATACAGTTTCCTTGCTTACAGTATGCATATCCGATTTTTATTTTCTGAGATATTTTAATCCATATCGTCAATAAAACTCGATATAATTTGATTTTCGACACTATTTTTTCTCTTTTCACCTCTCTAACAGGGCATCTCATTAAGATAAAATTTTGAACTATAGCCCACTATAGAGAGAATGAAATGGTTAACATTTCCCTCACTGACAATATGCAGGTCCGCTTTTTAGTTTTTTCGATATTTTAATTCATATGCATAAACATTTCGACGACTCAATATAACTCACTCTCCACAAAGAAAGTGTATATATTTTTTTTTAAAAATATATAATTATTTAAACTATATTTAAAATTTTGAAATGTATATAACTGTTTCAATATAGAATCAATAATGAATTATTTATATAATATTAGATTCTTAAGAACTGTACAATGCATCGTTGAAACGTACAAGTTAAAATATTAAATAATAACAATATCAGTTTAAGTGTGGTTGTTTATTTATTATTCGGACGAAAAGAGAGAAGAAAATAAAATAGACATAAAGATAAGTAAAGTAAAATGACACTTTTAAAAAAATAAAAATGTGACCCTCGACCAGTAGAAATTGTATAATGTCTAATTTACACTGGCTTCCAAGTGAGTGAAGTGTTGAATTCGGAGGACAATAGTTTCTGAAAACTAATATTATTTAACGGCGTCAAAATGTTTTTCTCATGAATATAAATTGAATTTACGAATTGAAACTTAGGAATTATTTTTAAACTTGAAAAAATAGAAATATATAACTATTTAGAGAAATCACTAACGGACAGTGTTGCCCAAAATCGGTCTTGCATTTTGCAAGACCGCCTGGCTGTCACAAGACCAAGACTGGTTTTAAAAAAAAATTTTTTTTGAGAATAAAAACTAAGGTAAGATAGCTACTAATAGTTGAAAATTTTAGTTACTATATGTAAAGAATTGGTATAACCAATAAACTTTTGCATTTAAATCTTCCAATTTTTCATTCGGGCTTATTTAGGTTTCTCCTTTATGAAAAATTACAGTAATATCTCTGTAGTAATAGGCTAATAGGTAACTGCAAGACTGACGCACAAGACCAAGACCAAGAACGGTCTTAATCTTGCATTCGGGCAACACTACTCAGAAAAAAATAAAAATTAGAATTTTTCCAATGCATTTTATTGACTCTCCCATTTTACGATCGAAAACGTACCTATTAAGTATATAAATCTACTGTTAGTGGAAAAAGTCGTATGTAAATATTTTCAATTTAGAAATAATGAGTTTTTATGCTCTCCTTGAATACTTCTACACCTTTAATTTATCGCATTATGATTGCATTAAACTGTCTGCTAGATGGATTTAGAAGTGTACACAAACAGTATATATTTATTAAAAGTTATAAATTTTCTATCTACTTTCATGAAAATAAACTTGAAGCAACTAGCTATTGATAAAGAAGTGACCTTTATCGTCATCTCAGTAGAAGACTGGCCGTTGATTACATGTTCACATCGTCGAGGTGTGCACACATTGCATGACGTTGATATCTTAATCGTGCTGAAACGTAAGAATTCGTTTGAAATTTTCTTCCATGAGCAATAATAAAGACCTGACTTTTAATATATCAGGTATTAGCTGACCTGCATCGAATTTATTTTCCATTCCACTAGCTTTAGTACCAGTGACGCGGTTGGGAGAGTAGCGCAGGGATTTCTTAGAGTCCTGCTTTTCCTTCTATAGTTGGAGGGAGAAGCTTGGTTGGTTGGTCCCTGATTATATATATTGTATATAGGTATGACTGTGTTTTTATGTTTTTAATTTACTTATCTTCAGGTTATTTTATTTTTTATTGTACATAGTTTTTTATTATTATTTACTAGTAGGCCCTTGCGAAAAATTCGCACAGTATATTGTTATCAAATGATAAATTAATAAGAAAATAAAATAATGCAAAGTATCAAAAGATAAAGGAATCAATTCTAACTTTATCGACAAATATAATCGACAAAGACAATTAATTTAAATCATCATTTTTGTTTGGAACCAATATATTTACAAATTTCAATAAGCTGTACCGTTGCGAAAAATTGTCCGATTTCAATGATTTTTTTTCCTTTTGTAGACAATTTAGTAATGTTTTATATAATCAGGGAAAAGTGTGTAATTTTTTAGTTATTCGCAAATAAAGTTTCTTTTCTTTCATAACTTGTTTGCCTGAATTTTCGGGGTGATTGGACTATTTTGCCCGGCTGAAGGAGAAGGAAACCTTCGAAATTGGTGGCTCAATCTTGAGATTTGGTAAAGAATTAACGATGAAATGGCTTGCCGATCAAAAACAGCATCGATAAATAATATAAACTCCTCCTCTCTCGATCATAGAGGCTTCAAGTCGACGAAATGAGACATGTATTCAATGACAGTACTACAATTAACGTCAGGTTGTGTGGATGCGAATCCCATGCCTTGCGTTATCTCGAAAATAGTACGTTTTGGGGCTTAAAAACGCAGGATCCGATAGTTCCGGAGGAACTATC